GTGTCCTCATGAGCAGAGCTCCAGCGGGGCCAGTGACGATTGCCTGCGCCTCCGGCAGAGGCATTACCGAAGGGATCCAGGTGAGTGGTGGAACCTGTTGGGAGGGACCCGCCTCCGTGGGAATACCTCAACTCCAGAGCGCTGCCTGGCAGAGAGCGACTGGAAAAATAAAAGAAGAGATGAGACACGATAAGATGAAACGATTAACCCTACACACAAGTAGCAAACAAAGTGGGGTACTAAAGCACAACATGTGCCAACTCCAAAGCTGAGATACTGCAAACGAAAATATCAATGTGAAAAATTAAAATTGTCTAATAATAGAGGATTAAATCAAAAGAGCACGGAAAATGAAGATACAGCCCAACAGTAGCCAGCTGACGTACAGCTACAAGCTGTCCAAGCGATGGTACCAACCTGGAATAAGAGCCCCCAGGCCTCGCTCTCAGCTGATCCAACTCCAGCTGAAGCCTTTCCAGCTCAGCGATCAGCTGATCCTGCAAATGAAAAAAGAAATGGTAGAGAAAAGAGGAAAATCATGTCTGCTAGCTTAACCTGAGAATAAAACTTGGATGTATGGTCACCTTGTTTGCCAGCAGATCATCCTGGAGTTTCTTCATGTTGGACAGTTCCTCTGATAGTGCATTCTGGAGAAAAATGATAAGAAGTAATAAGAGTATGAGGAGAATTTCAGGAAAACTTTATTTGTTCTATCTGAGAAAATTAGTCTACTGTCTGCCAACAGTGTGTTTTTTTAAAGGGACTCAATTTCTTGCCAGTGTTTCATTAGAATTACAGATGATCTACATATGCAAATTACATCTACAATAACAGCAGTGCATATATAGAAATGTATGCGTTAAAGCACAGATGCATGCAACTTCTTCATAACCATCTACCCATTCGGTTTCTTCTGCTTAGCCAGTTCAGGGCTGCAGCTGCACTGCAGCCTATCTGAGCACTTATGAGGTGAGACATGGGGTACACCCTAGACAGGCCGCTAATTTTAAAGGGCTAACAAAAAGGAAAAAAACGACCACACATACCTACAGTCGATTTAGAATCACCAGTTAACCTAATGTGCATATTTTTTGAATTGTGGGAGGAAGCCAGAGTGCTTGGAGAGAAGTCTCCAGCTGGCTGTCGAATTTGAACCCCAGACATTTTACTGATTTGCTTTTTTAGCAAGAACTCAATGACTTGCATCACACAAGACATGCAGTTTTCAGGTTAAACTGTGTCACTGGCTAACTTTGTCCGTGTTACCTGTTCACAATAAAGTATTATTTGTCAGCTATAAATGTTACGTATCTCAAAATCCAGGAGTATAATTTAAAGTCTACATTTACAGCAAACTATCAATGCTACAAGTAACAGCTCAGTAAGCATCTTACCAACTCTCTGTGCTACCCTGCAAACGAAAAGCTCCACTTTTAAGCACATTCCTTTAAACCTAATCCCACCTGGAATTTATCACCAACAGGACTTTATACCTGCTGTAAAATCACAGCAGTTTACATTTAGAAAAGAAACCTTTTTGTTTGCTGATAGTGCAAATAAAGCACAGATTGTAGATAAGAGATTAACAAAAAAAATCAACCACCAGGCATTTCTAATCTGGATGTTTATGTCTATTACATGTAGTAAATCTCTGTATTTATAAATTAATGAGTTCCAGGAATAATGAAAAGTAAGACACAAAAAGAGCTAATGGATGTTTGAGGCACGGCT